TGAGCTGAAACTGAGAGTCGGATGCTTAACCGACTGAGCAACCCAGGTGCCCTTTGTAACAGTTTATTTTTAAGATCTCCTTCCTCAATAATTTTATCTTTTGCAAACTTAAATAAATACCCAAGAGATACCCTGTTTCGTACAGAGTGCTTTCTTGCCCAGTCTGATGTTTCATAGCTTGAGCTACAAAATTTTATAGTAGCCTTTTTAAAAAACCCTTCCAGTTTTGATAGCTGAGTAACCTCCAGCCTTTCTAGGGGTTGAAGAATCATACTTCCTGCAATCTGTCTTTACTAATTGGATTTTCTGTATATTTCATGTCTTTTTTTTTTTTTCAACCCTACCCAACTTTTTTATATCTTTTATGTACTTCATATTTTTTTTTAAAGATTTATTTATTTATTTGAGAGAGCGAGAATGAGAGAGAGTAAATTTTATTTATTTATTTGAGAGAGAGAGACAGAGGGGGGAGGGTCAGAGGGAGAAGCTGGCTCCTCGCCATCAGGGAGCCTGATGCGGGATTCGATCCAGGGACTCCAGGACCATGACCTGAGCTGAAGGCAGTTGCTTAACCAACTGAGCCACCCAGGCGCCCCTTCATATTTTAATAGGACCTAACCAGTGCCGAATATAATTCTCAGCTCCTGCAGGACACACTTGTTCATATCCAGTGTTGTGCCTGCTTCTTCGATACCGTAATTGCCCGCACATTGCTGACTCATAATCATCTTCTGATCTACTATTAAGCCAAGATGTTTTTTATCTTTGCCTACTCAGGCATTTCCCATTATATAACTTTCTAGCTGTATAGAGTTCTCTGTACCTATGTTCAGCTTTTTTCTTTTTTCTAAAATTTCAAGTCTCCTAATATAATGCATTAGCAGTCAAACATTCACATCCATAGTCAGAACAGCTATTTATGTAGCTGTACAAAGAACTCAGTAAGAGTTCTTTAGTCATTAATATGATCTAATAGTTAAGAGTATGAGCCTTAGGGGTGCCTGGGTGGCTCAGTTGGTTAAGCGTCCGACTCTTGGTTTTGGTTCAGGTCATGATCTCAGGGTCGTGAGATGGGAGTCTCAACATCAGGCTCTGCACTCAGTGGGGAGTCTGCTTCTCTCTCTGTTTCTCTCCCTCCCTCTCTCTCTCCCTCTGCTCCTCACCCCACTTGTGCATGTTCTCTCTCTCTCTCTCTCTAATAAATAAATACTAAAAAAAAAAGTGTGGGCCCTAGAGCTATTTGACTTGAGTTCCAGTCTTGGCCGTACCCCTTATATGCAGTTTGAACAAGTTTTCAACCTTTCTGTGCCTGTTACCTCATTTGTAAAATGCACATCATGACGGTGCCTACCTAGTGGGGTTGTTATGAGGATTTAAATGAGGTAATACACACAATACGCTTAGAATAGTGTGTCTTTTTCTTGGCATATAGTATGTCCTCTTTATATGCTGACTATTGTCAATGCATGTTAGACAGTATGCTAAGTTTCTACTTGGAGTATTTCATCCTTAACCCAGTAAGACAGAGGTACCTGGTATTGTCCCATTTATAGAGGAGGAAACTGGCACAGAGATAGGTTAAGTGAATTGCTCAAGGTCTCACAGCTGGAAGGTGATTGAAGTTGGAATTAGAGCCCAGGATTCTGGCTCCAATAATGCTGGATTTAGCATTTGATTCCCACTTGCTGTCATTCCCCCAACAGAGTCCCACTGTTCCAACTAGTTGATTTTGGTCTGTCCATGATAGTAGGTCAGTGATTCTTAATCCTGGCTTCCTGAAAGAATCACGTGTGGAGATTTTTGCTTTTTATTTTAACTTTTTTATTATAAAACATTTGAATTACATTTTAAAAAGATAGAGTAGAGCAGCGAACACCCATATACTCATCGTCTGTAGGCAACGCTTCACCTCGTTAACTATATGTTTTTGGCTGAATTGTAAACATCGTGATACTTTACCCCAAATACTTCATCATGTATCCCCCCGAGGAAAAAAAGAGGACATTTTCTTGCATTTCTTACTTGTCACATCTAACAAAGTTAACACTAATTCCTTACTATCATCTGATACCCAATCCAGTAGAGGTCTAAAAAGTACAGATGCCAGAGCCTGATCAGAGGGTCTGAGGGTAGAAAGTGGACCTGTATTTTTAAAAAGCTTTACAGGGTTGGGGGCGCCTGGGTGGCTCAGTCAGTTGGGCATCCGACTCTTGATTTCTGCTCGGGTCATGATCTCAGGGTCATGGGATCAGGCTGAGTTGGGCTCCACGCTCAGCAGGGAGTCTGCTTATTCCTCTCCTTCTGCTCCTCTCCCTGCTTGTGCGTGCGCGCGTGCTCTCTCTCTCAAATAAATAAATAAAGTCTTAAAAAAAACTCCCAAAAACAAAAAAAACTTTACAGGGTTGGAGCAGAGCCAGAACTAAGAACCACTACTTTTTCTTTCTTTTTTTTTTAAAGATTTTATTTATTTATTTGACACAGAGAGAGAGACAGCGAGAGAGGGAACACAAGCAGGGAGAGTGGGAGGGGAGAAGCAGGCTTCCTGCTGAGCAGGGAGCCTGATGCGGGGCTCGATCCCAGGACCCTGGGATCATGACCTGAGCCGAAGGCAGATGCTTAACAACTGAGCCACCCAGGCGCTCCTACTTTTTCTTTTTTAAAGATTTTATTTTAATTCCAGTTAATATATAGTGTCTATTAGTTTCAGGGACAATATAGTAATTCAGCACTTCCACACATTACCCGACGCTCATCACAAGTGCACTCCTTAGTCCCCATCACCTATTGAACCCATCCCCTCGTCCCCCGCCTTGAGAACCACTACTTTAAATTAAAAGTTCTTTTAGGAAAGAGATGATATGTCATATGTGCTTATGCTTCTTCAGCGCTCTAAGGAACATAATAGGAACTGGGTGCCTTTCAGTCTCTCTTCTGCATCCTCACAGCAGCCTCATAATACTAGGCTTATATTTGTTCTGAACTTTGTGATTAAAACCCTACGTGTTTCATATCAGATAAAGGGCTAGTATCCAAAATCTATAAAGAACT